GCAAAAACAATTGTGTTTTTCCAATTTTTGGCGCTGTCAGAACCACCGCAAGGTAATTTTACGTAGTCCTGTGAAGTTTTGTTAAAATCAGTTGAAAAATGTAGGAAATTCGATCCAATATATAAACGAACAGACACATACACACACACAACCTGGGTTTTATAAGAAGTATGATTATTATACATTTATAGTATACATATTTTTATAATAGTTTATACATATTTCTTTATTTTTAAGATAAATTGTGGTATACAATGATTTTTCTATTTTGAAGTAGGTGCTGTTTAGCAAGTGTAATTTATTAAGAATATCTCACTAAGAGTTATATATATTACGAACATTTAATGCTGAGTATTTATATTTAAGCATAACATTTCTCTGTTTTTCATGAAAGTTGTCATAATTTTCAAAATCGAAGGAAAGCATTTAGAATTGTAATGTTTATTTCATTTATCTTTGACTACTGCCTCATTATCACCGATTTCTTTATTATTTATATTCAAAGATTCTTTTAATAACATCTGGCATGAATTTTATTCTTTTACATTTTCTTATTTATTAATTGTAAAGTAACGTACTTTCAGATTTGTTGGAAAAACGTTTCTAGTTATAACATTATTTTGTTTCATTTATGTTGTAACCTAGAAAGGATTACCGAATAAGAGATAACCAAAACAGAGGTTGGAAATGAAATGGTAATCTTTATAACATCAACAAAATACAATACTCGCCAGCGGCGTGAAGTAGGTAAACCACTGCTAGTGGTGGACTACTTAGACAGTATATTACCCTCACTTACAATAGTGTCCAATGTATTTATGTGGCTTGGGACATATCCATAAGTGTTTATAGTTATAGCATATAACAGGTTATTATTAGTCAACTAGTTCTATTATTTATCTTACAAATATTTTAAAAACAGCAATAATAATAATAATAAAATATTCTCATATATTTGATAATAATTTTATATTTTTTTCTTATTTATTTTATTATTATAACTTTTTAAAATATATATAGCAATATATTTCATACATTTGATGATGAACTGTTTACATTCAATGTAAAATATATACATATATACATATATATATGCATTATATATATACATATATATTTATGTGTGTAGGGGGCAGTGGGTAAAAATAGTACCTTTGTTGCTTGGTTGCTGCACCTTGTTATTAAGGTGGATGGTCAACACTGGTCTTCACCCATCTTCAGCATGTGAAAGTTAGTGTTTACTTTGCACTACTAGGTGGATGATATGCACAAATGGGCAACAGCTGGACAATAGAATCAATGACCAAGTGCACAGACCGAATACAATCTGCATCATATCAATGATTTTGGCTGTCAACCAAGAACTCAAAGAGGAGATGGGTGCTGCCAAGATATCTACAAGCCCACCAAAAGGATTTTGAAGCAAGAGAAATAAGGAGAGACTCTGATAGATACAAGCAGATTGTGATATGTTATGGTCCCAAATGATGATATTTCATTATTATAAAAATAACCTTGCCATCAGTGATGATAAAAAATAAGGATATTTCATCATTCTAAAAATAACCTTGTCATCAGTGATGATAAAAAATAAAGATATTTCATCATTCTAAAAATAACCTTGCCATCAGTGATATAAAAAATAAGGATATATTTCATCCCTGAAATAAAGGTAAAAATTTCATCATCCTGAAAACAACCTTGCCACCATTGATGAGAAAGATATTTCATCATTCTAAAATCTGATTATAAAACCAACCCTTCACCACAAGTGATGGTAGTCAGTAGTATAGGATCAGTAGAGTAACAAGTGGCAGTAGCAATAGTAAAAAGGTCCAACACATAAGTGTCCTCATCTCTCCATGAAAATCAAAAACTGATGATCTCAAATATTATCTTCAACGAAAATCTCAGAACAAGTAAAAACAAGTAAGCACAAACTTTTAAAGAAACAAAAGAGGCAGTAACACTGAGAATGTTTTTAACACATACCATACCAATATCTGTAATTCAGATCACGAAAAAGAAAAATAGAAATTTTTGTTATTAATGTCAACACATGTCTTGAGTATTATTGTTTATATTATTGTCATACGTTTTTATTCATTTGACTTTCAGTGTAAAAAAAAGGTAAAAAGTGTTCCTCCATCAATTACTACTACAAATACATATAACAACGGGATAATTACTTTAAATACCTCAACATCTGACCCTGTTACAGATATATAAATATATAGGAAAATTGATTGCAATACAGAGCAATCATTTTTGGAATAGACTATTTGGATATTATTAATGTCTACTCTTGATAAAAAGAACAAAAATCATTAAAAAAAAAATAATTCTGACCAATTTGGGAATTACTCTCACTTACAAAATGACATTTTTCAAAGTAACTTTTGATATTTGAGAGTTTTTCCATTTACTGAAATCTCAACATATCCAAAGCCACAAGCTGAGAATGTATTCTTATGTTTGTATATTTTTCAGATACTCCACTGAATCTTCCTGTACAATCTCTCTCATCTTAGTAAGAGATTCTGTCTTAAAACATCTTAGCAACTTATATATGTTTTTCTTGTATCTATAAAATCTTTTTGTGCAAAATAATCACTTCTGATCTGTCAAGTTCATGATTACTTTTTACATGACTTACACATCTAAATACATTAACTCAACTCATGAAAACACCTTTTCTGCAGTAGAGACATTGCAAGGTTTTTTACTCAAAACTTGGAAGAAGAGCTACTTGAAGAATAAGTGACAAAACATTGGCCACTTACTGGAATTCAGAAATTGTCAAATGTATTGTGTACATGTTACTAAATAAATTATCTACAAAAGAAAACGGTATCTTTGTTGCATTTTATTTTCTTCAGACTGATTTTGTTGTCTTTGCTTTATCACAGTACTTCAGCCATGTACTTTGGTCTTCATCAGAAGTCTGTTCTAAAACACTCCAGGAAGGCCATCATGGGAAAAAGGAAGAAAAGATGAGAAAATTAGAAAAAAAAATATCTACATACAATAATTAAAACACTGCATCTAACAAAATTTAGAAACCTTTTTAATAAGGCATTTCTCATAAACTGGCCTTGTGTCTGTCTATATTTCTGAAATGAGGTATTATTTACACTATTTACATTGCTCAGAGTATCATCCTCATCTTTGTTGCCATATTTATCACAACATTTCAGCCTTGTATGCTCCTGTCTTCTTCAGGTGGTTGGAATGTCAAACTGAACCCTTTATTTTGCTTGCTGGGGTAGACTGTTCTAGTTCCACATGCCATGTCTAATGGATGTCAGTTATCAGTTAGGACACATGGCACAGTGGATAAAGATGTTAGTTAGATCCAGTGACAGGACCCAAAGACTGAGTTCAATATCCGGATAAAGCAGTGGAGAACTTAGAGAGGGGAATTAACAGGAGATAACTGATAACATACATTAGACATGGCATGTGTAACTAAAACAGTCTACCCCAGCAAGCGAAATAAAGGGTTCAGTTTGTCATTCCAATCACCTGAAGAAGGCCGGAGCATACAACAGCCAAAAAGGTTGTGATAAATATGGCAATAAAGATGAGGATGATAGTCTGATCAATGTAAATAGTGGCCTTGTGCCATACGCCACTTTGTGGGGAGGACTTGGGTAAATACCAAGTTCACCAAACCTTTGGGTTTAACAAACTGTCTCTAGACAGGGAGGAACCCAGACGAGGCTATGCCAAAGTGCAAAGTCTCATCTGCATAGGTAGACAAACTTAACCCCATTATTATAGGGTCTTACAGGGAAGTTTTGCCTGAGCCTACAGCTCAGAATAGCCCACATTAAAAAACGGTCTTGTGCCACTTCCCGCCCTGTGGGGAGGACTTGAATAAATACGGAATCTATCAAAGTTCAGTTTGTCAGATTCTCTGCTTTCAGGCAGTAAGGAATTCAGATGAAGTTATGCCTATGAGCAGTGTCTCAGTCTGGGGAAAGTAGACAGCCACCCAACCCCATGTATGCAGATTCTATGAGGAAATTTTGCCCAAGTGTATGTACTCAGAAAGCCTCCACATAATAAAAACCTGTTACATCCCGCCTTGTGGGGATCTTGGGTAAATACTGAGTCAATAAATTAATTTTGTCCATTCTTTGATGTTGTAGTCATCATAACATACCCAGAGACAAAATATGACATTTGCATGATTAGCTGGTGACTTTAGATCTTTGCTACATAAGCATACCTTCCTTCACAATGTGGTCAAGCAGTGGCTACTCCATTTACACACACACACACACACACATACACACACACACTTCCTCCTGGAATCTTTCTCTCTCTCTCTTATGTGCCAGGACTTTTACATACGAACTCTTGAAACTTCAACTTTCACCTTATCTGTCTGTATTATTATAGGGCATATATAAAGATTTATTTTTTTATTTATCAACACTTTATGCATTTTCTTTTAATCATTACACAAGACCAATATACACACAAATCAAATATATATAGGGGACAATGGATGTTGTCAGAAGATAACCTCCTACTTTCCATAGAGAATGTTTTAATCATTTTACCTTAAGAAAGACAACAAAGCCACTAATGCATAAGGGGTTAATGAGTGTGAAAGAATAAGAAAAAAGAGAAACCTTATTAAGAAGCGAGAATAATAAAAGAAGAAGAATCAAGAAGACAGTAGATAACAGTTGACATTGCATTTAAATTTTTGAAAAGAAAAGTTAACTGAAAGTAGGCATGAAGCTGAAAGAAAGTTCCACAAGTGAGAAGTGTAAGAGAAAAAACTGTTAGCATAGAACATAATTCTGCTTGTTCCTCTGTTAGTTTGTAAATTAATTTTGTTACACTCCACCATTACCCCAGATAAATAATAGACCATTGTATTTTGATTGTAAGGAAAGTTAGAAGGAAAATTGTATCAGAGACACTGTTTGGTTTTAGTGAGAAAAAGAAAGCCTACATAATAAAGAAAGAAAGAAAGGGCTTATGGCTACATCACATTGAAACACTAGTTCCCATATGATGTCCGAAGTTAAGCAATGTTGGGCCTGGTCAGTACCTCGATGGGTGATCACTTGGAAATACTAGGTGCTGTAAGCTTGGATGTACAAGTGGTGTAATAGATAATGGCTTGGAATTGTTAATCAGAGCTGATTTCCAATTCCCATTGGGTTCTTTATATTTACTTACATGCAAATACTCTTGGAAAAGGTATGAATCCACCTTTTCTCCCCCAGTGATGGGTTAATTAGTAAGACTTCTATCACTAAACCATTAATATCTCATATAAAATATTCTTATAATCTAAAATATTTTATGGCTTTAAATAATCTGCAAATCCATAGAAAACAAATCAATCAAAAATCAAAGCAAAAAAAGGAAGATAGTGCTCTCATGCATTTAATATTTGCTTCAATGAAATAGAAAACCTTGTCAGTTTTTAATTTCTACTCTCTTACTTCTTTAAATAATGTCCTGCATTAATACTTATGCTTATTATTGCAATATTTTGTTGAAGTTGGTTAGCTCAAATAATTAATGATGCAATAGGGGAATTTCCATGGGTATTTTATAGTCATGGAACTCACAAGGAGCTTATTCAATTAATTAAGATTCATCCAAAAATACAAATAAGAAAACAGTGTAATCTTCATGAGTGCTGTTAATCAGTATTATATTGCTTGTGAATATTGATTTATTAATCAAATGTAAAACTTTCTTTCTGAATTTCATGACTACGTCAAAACTTGATCATATGATATTTATAATTTAGCTAATGGACTTAAGTATAGTATATCAAACATAGGTGAGAATGCTAGTTCTAATAAATTTTGGATAAGAAACACACAAACATGTAAATATACAGGTACATTATTATTTATTAGGTAAACTCTCCTACTACCAGGTCAGATGTCTTTTGCCTTTAGAACAGCCTCAGTTCTTATCAGCATGGATTTGACTATGTTCCAGAAGGCTACATTCAAAATTTGGGTCCCTACTACCATGGTACTTGATGGGGTTGAAATCTGGCCACTTTAACATGGAAAACTTATTGTTGTGTTCTATTTAACAATCTGCCATTATTTTTTATTTGTGTTGTCATTCTGGAAGTGACCATGAGAAGGTGGGTACACCATAATTATAAAGTGAGATTCACATTCAGCCATAGTACCTTGGTAGGTTGAAGAATTTAACAATATTTTATTGGTGCCAGTGATCCCAATGTATGCCAAAAGCTTGTCCCTATACCATTACACCACCACCAGCTTTACCAACAGCATGAACTGTTGATACAAAGCAGGATGGATCCTAATTTTTATGTTGTTTATACCAAATTCTTGCCCTACCAGCAAATTTAAGAGCAGAAATAGAGGCCAGATATTTTCCAATCTTCTCTTGTCCAACTTTTGTGATCCTTAACAAATTTTAGCCTCAGTTTCTTGTTTTTATCTGACAGGAGTAACAACCAGAATGGTCTTTTGCTGCTCTAGCCCATCTCCTTCAAGGTTTGATGTATTGTGTGCATTCACAGATACTCTTCTGTATACCACCATTGTAAAAAGTGGTTATTGTTACCTTGAACCAGTTTGGCCATTCTTCCCTGACCTTTTTCATCAACAAGGGATTTCCACCATCTGAATTTGTTGTGGCCTGCTTAGGGGCCAGAAAGAAAGACAAGGAAGATGAAGGTAGGTTGAACAAGTATATTGAAAAAGCAGATATATACAAAGCAAGTTTGTTAGTAATAAGTAGATAGAGGTGTACGTCCAAACAATAGGTTAGCACTGTGTCTACCTTCCAACCGACTCTCGCAGTTAGTATTTATGAGAGGAGGAAGAGTTCATTCTACTGTAGGAGGGTTTATCACAACAGAATTCACTGGATACTTCTCTTTTTCTGACCATTCTCTGTAAATTCTAGAGATAGTTGGGCCATGAAAATCCTATTAGATCAGCAGTTTTCAAAATACTCAGACCCACTTGTCTGGCACTAATGACCATGCCATGCTCAAAGTCATTTAAATTGCTTTTCTTTCTCATGAAATGAATTTCAATGGGTCATTATGGTCATGTTTAATGAGCCTATATCCATTAAATTGCTGCCAGAACATTAGTTGATTAGAAATTTGTATAAAAGCACATTTATTTATGTGTACTTAAGTAAGTGGCCTGTAAGTGTTCAGTGTATCTATGTATTTACACCTTTCTTGTTTTAATTACTTTGTTCTAACAAGTAGATTGCATGGAATGAATCTTAGTTACTTGACCAGTGAGAAAGTAGGGGTGGAAGGGTCAGGGAAAGACAGTTGAAAAATTATCAAATGTGACCTAGGTCAAAATAATTCATTGAATATTACAACACATTCAGATAACACATATAATCAGGTTTCTTTCCTAAGGTTTCTGGATTGATATCAATGAAACTTTTGTGCAAAAAAAATACACAAAATAAATAGCCATTAGTTAGTGTTAGATTTGTATTAGATTAACATTTTTTAAAAAAGACTGAATTCAATTTTGTGCAAAAAAAACTGTGGGAGGAATTTTTTAATGAGAAAGAAAACTCTGGAAAAATTCCAAGAAAAATCAACAAAAACTTGATAAATTATCATTGCCAATGCACAAGGAGTGAATAATGTTCATTCATGAAAATTCATTATTTTTTTTAATTTCGTACAGGTGCGATGGATAAATTGTCATCTAAATTATGCAAAAATAAAAATAACACTGACATCTCATTTAAACAGATATATTTACCAAAATTACACAAAAATATCTTGAAATACTAAAGAGGAAATTTATTCAATAAAGTCGCTATTGAATTCAACCATGGTCTCCAGACTTTGGAATCTTCTGCAACTCTTCTGGATAGTTTCCTTGTTTAAGTTGACAAATGCTGCCATAATCCTGGCCTTCAGTTCATCTTTGATGTTACAAGGAGTTTTTTTGGTCTTAAATATAAAATGGAAAAAATTTACCCATCACACTCTGTATAGTAATAGGGTCTGACCTGGAAGACCATATAACTATGTAACAAATAAAAAGTATAATTTCACCTTAACCGAAGCAAAGTTCACCTATTATGAAGCTAAAAAATATTATATTTGATGACATCTTCAAATTAGTGAAATTTAATCACTTATGTAGCCAAAGAAAACTTTTACAAAAACAAATACAGCATATTAAAAACAATTTCATAAAAAAATCCACCATTACTAGAGTATGACAGCTTGGGTGAAGGAGGAACCTTTGCTTTAATTTGGTCTCCTAAACATGTACTTATTGATACAGTTCAAAAGTTTGAGGCCACCCTTGGTAATTTTTTAAATTGGCCCAAAAAGTAGTTTTTCTTTAAATAAGAGAAAATTATTGTACATGGTTAAAAAAAGTGATACATGATTTTTATTAGAAATTTTATTATGACAAAAAGAAAAAAAATTGCTCTTGTCAAAATATTCTCCTTTAGCCATGATTACTGCAGCACAAATTTTTGGCATTCATTGTAAATGTTTCTCAAAGTAAAAGTTTGATAATCGATTCCATTCTTTTTTCAATGACTCTAAGAGCTCTTTTTAATTTTTTCCACTCTTCTGGCAAATTCATCCTATTCTGGGGGTTGCTTCAAACTTCTGAACTGTAGTGTAGATTGTTTAACTTTGTATAGTTCACTTGTACTAATTTGTGAGACTAGCTTAGTAATGAGGCACACAGTAAAGATTAACCTCATTGTACTAGTAATGGTTGCAAAACTAGGTTCTACATGATAAGGTATTTACTAAGCTTAACTTCATCTGGCTCATGACAAAAAATGTGAGGTACCTAATGCGGATCAAATACACTACAGAAGTAATGGTCTATGAGATTACTATTTCTCTATGACTAGGTACCCAGATAATACTTTTCTCCTTTGTTAATCCATACTAAATTATAGCAAAGATTTTGTTGTAAATCTTGAAAGAAAGAAATTATTTTGAGAATTTTTCTGAATATAACCTAACCAAATTTGGTTAAGATTAACCTGGATATAAAAGCATAATTCTTCTTACATTATGTAAGGTTGTGATGAAAACCCTTCCCTCCCAAAATATTTTATGTTTGGTCATTTGCTTAGATTTCAAGAATTAGTTCAGGCTGAGAACTTTTCAGTAACTAGTATGAACAATAATATTTTTCCTGATTTATAAATCTCTTTACGTTTCTATATTTGCTTCCATGGCATTATCATTTTAAGTAGCATTTCTCTGCTGAATGTCTACTGGTTACTGTATTTTTGTGGATCAGATGCACCTTAGTACAAGGTGCATTTCTATTTTCAGAAAGAAAACAATTTCTGAAAGATATAAAGCAATATAGTGTTAGCTCCAAGACCATGCTGAAAAAGATGAAAGGTGATTAGTAATCGTGACCATTATTATATAAGACACAAGCAAATTTTGAAACTGCTTTTATTAGATAAAAATCTCTTTTTATGTAATAAAAAATGCTGTAATTATGAAAGGCCAAAAAAAAAAAAATTAAAACCATAATACAGCCATTTTTCACTTCCTCTTACATTCATATCACATGCCTACTTCAATAGTCCTCTACCTTAAGTGGCACTCGAGCCTTGCATTGGGGGAACTATTTAAAAATCATGACATAAATATAAAATAGTAAACACAAAAATATGGAAAGCTAAACAGACAAAAAATTTACATTATTTACATGTGGAGTATTGTCCTCATCTTTGTTGTTAGCATTCCGCTAATACCCGCTCGGCCCGGTGGCTAGGATCAAAGTGTAGTATCTGTGCTTTGTGAGCTGCCGGGTCGGGTGTCTGTCGAACTCTCTGCTTGCAGAGAGGAACCCGGACGAAGCTCCGCCGAAGGGTGGGGTTTCGTTCGGGGAGGTTGACGGAACTAGCCCGCTTGGACGTGTTTAGATAGGTTTTATTTTTGGCTGGGCCTACGGGCTCAGACATACCCACATTAAAAAGGCCTTGTGCCACATTCAATTCCTGTGGGTGAATTGATAAATACCATCTTTGTTGTTATTCACAGACCAACACTAAGTTAATTGTTATTTTCCTGTAGGTTGAAGTGTTGGTTTGTGAATTTGG